GATATATATAGAAATATCAATGATCAGGCTGGAATTGATGAAATCTGTGTTTTCTGTACTCAACAAATTCTTCAACCTAACAATTATGACAAATTGCATCTTTCTATTGTATATATGTTGTTAGACTCTTTCCATTCTCACTCACTCTCTCGTATATTGTGTACATGACTCTGCACATATAATATCTTTATTACATTTGTGTTTGAGTAAAAACCATAGCATATGAATATCGGAAGCTGGGTAACAGATTCCACTGTCTTTCATGTTCTTGTGATAGCTAAGTTTGAGTGTTAATTAAATGCGAGTGGCAGTTGATAATGTTTACAAGCAAAATAGCTAGCGAAGCATGAATGCTTGTCACAATTTTCCTGTTAATAAAATAATATTCCTACCATTTGTGCAACCTCTAGGTTTATTTTTGTCTATTAAATTTAACATTTACTAGGTTATAGACTATGGCTATCCTCCAATTCAAGGGTGATTGATTTTCCCCCTAAAAATCTCTCGCACTGTTTTGGTTCACTGATAGATAGAAATTAGCATAGAGATGTTAGAAAACTCAAAACTGGAGCTAATTCACAACTTACTTTTGGATCTTATAACTTTCCTCACAATAACAGAGTCATCAGTCTGACTGTGTTGAGCAATTAAATAATATTATTTGAAAATTGTAAATCATTAGTGACCAGACTCAACAGTGTGGTCCCTCATAACACCAAATGATGATGTTATTTACACGTTCCTATTTCTTATGACGCATTTGTTATCCATTAGTTGCATGTTATTATGATCAAACATGAATACTTTGTCCAATTCTAACATTATTTTCAATTTGTTAATCTTTTCTGGTTACGTATTATGCAGGTCTGCTGTTATGGTCCCTGATCCAAGGCTGGACAAATCATTTCACGATGCAGCAGACCAAGTTTTGAACTCACTGTTGGATTTCAACCCTAGTGAGTGGGCTTTACCTCCTTTTGAAGATAATGCTAGCTAGCTAGCTGAACTTAGTTTTCTCTTACTTGCCGTCCATTTTTACAGCGAACAGAAAAGGCTGCATTTGTTTTGTACAACTAAATGACGAGTAATTAATCCATTGTCATAGATTATAGAACCTTTATGTTATTGTTCTGTGTGAATTACTAAATCAATATCGATTTGTGAGATCGTGAAAGTCGACATCATTTGCATATTTCTCTCGTGGCATGAAGCTTAAAACGTGATTGATTCGGTTTATTTAGAACGAGTACTTCTCCGTTGTTGTTTCATTGTCAAAATCAAATTGACGGTGATGTTATATTTTTCTTGCTTACCTTCACACTATTATTAATTACAGAAGACAACAAGTCGTTGTAGTTTTTAAAAATTTGTCCTATTTATATCACTACACATTTATGTATCGGTTCAAATATTCACAGTAAACCATTAAAAGTATAAAATAAAATAATAGGTGATTAACATTACAAATATTTAAAGAGAAATTGATTGAAATTTCACTGTCAATATAATTGTTAATACGGGAAACTCTAATAGCAAAGATAAAACAGTTACACACTAAACTATGTTACTGACTAACTCAATGTGTAAGGAATTTCCACATTTTACTTTCATGAAACTGACAACTGACAACTGACAATGTCCATGTTTATACTTGTCCCATTGCACGTGAATACCATATGCAAGCAATGAAAGGTGATTTCAGAAAAGGTTACTAAAATTCATGTCAACCAGGTAGATAAATACAAAGAATTTGTGTCCACAAACTTTCAATGAACACTCACATAAGAAAAATATAATAAGGGAAAATAAAGTAATTTTAAGAGGTAAAAATAATAATGTATGTCTTAACTATTAATTTTTTGTTGTTGGAGAAACTAAGATTTTTTATATTAAAAAACTTATTTTACTTTATATATATTTTTTATGAACATTAAGTCTTAGAAAAATTGATTGCATTTGAGGAGTTTAATAATATCCAGAAATTTAAAAAAAAAATCATGAAATAAAATTAGTTTATGCATAAGTTAATGGAACTTTTTTTTTTTTTCTCTTTTTCTAAAAAATTACAGATTACCAAAGCAGGTCCTGTTTTTCATATGACACAAGAAAAAAACTATGGTAACCATGAAAAGAAACTGGTTAATGAATAAAACCTTTGTGAAAGTAGATGAAAAGCCTCTGCAAATTCGAAGGTTAGTTTGAGTGTCCCTTTGACCAGTTTCAATTCAATGGAAATGAGTTTGTTTTCGTTTATGGTTGGTTAGTTCTCTTTTGTCATACATTGTGTCTTCTTTTTAGCAAAATGAAGAACAAATTAACCAACCTAAATTTGTCTCCTACGACTTTTGGCCGCAATCAATTCTTCAACAGTTTAATATATGTGTAGTCCTTTTTGGCTGATCATGAGGTTGGTCCTAATCAACTAGCTTTATTAGTTAGATGTTTAATTATAACAAAAAGCCAGTGTCTTATATCTCTTTTAGCTGACGTTTTACCGTTTGAATTTAAAGTTACTTTATCCTCTATGGGAGCAATTGCAACAGATAACAATATAGCAAAAGTGAATGTCCACAAACCTATAATCTACACCTAGTGAGAAACATAAAAGAGAATTATAGTAAAACATAGAAATTGTGAAAAGTGACAAATCTTGATCTAGTGTTCAGATAAATAAAATGTCCAAAAAAACATTGTTGTCATAAAGTAGAACAAAATATAATGAAAATCATTCATCAAATTTTATGAGATTAAATTAACTTCTGCTGGGAAATCATTAAAAATATTCCTTGTTATCCAATAACCTTTTAATCTTATATCTTTATTAGAAATGAAAAAGGTGAATGACACATGTTAACTGAATAGTAGTGTCAAATTGAGTTTAGTATGCGTTTTTGTCGCCTAAAATCACTATTCATTAGAATTTGTTTACCAGTTTTTATGGTTTGTAAATTTGTTTTCGAAAAATGTCTTATTTATATTTTAAAACGAAAAATAAGGTCAAATATAATTATAAACAAGTATTCAGTAATTAACATTAGGTTGAAAAGGTTAATTACATCAAATTTTACACACACAAGGGTATTTTGTAAATCATAACCAATTGCATTCTAAAACTACTATTTGAGTTTTGTTTTAAAAAAATATAAAAAAGCTAAATTATGCTTATTCATTACGACTTTATTTTATAAAGAAATCATTACTAAGATAAACGACTTTTAACCTTTGAAGCTTGAGTCATGCAAAGATATTAATGTTAAAGTTTAAATAATAACTCTCAATTAATTACTTAATCAAAGTCATGCAAATAACATATTATCCTGAAGAAAATATGACAAAATTGAAGTCAACTTAATCAACTGAAGTCGTGGAAAGTTTTAAACAATTTATTCCAATGTTGTTGAACAAAATCATTAAAGTGTGTGATGATTTTTCTTCTATTTATAATAAAGTCAGTATTCTATTTATAATAAAGTCATATTATAAAAGAAGACTTCAACTATTTTATACCAAAGTCATATTTTGTATTAACGACTTGTACTTACAGTTTTATTCTTTTATTTTAACTTGTAGAAATTGTATTCACTTTTTTTATTCTTTATTACTTGTATATTTTAAAGTTTATTATTTTTAGGTGTCTTTTAGATTTTTATATAAACACATCTTGTAATTTTAAACTTTATCTTAATAATAATGGTTTATCTTTTCTTAAATTCTTATACAATCATATAATATTTATATACTTTTTAATTTGTGATATTTGTTAAAAATTTAATTAATGAACTAAAAATGTTGTTTCTTTATTTCTTTTAATACTTACAATTTGTTATGTTTTTTTTTTAAAAACGTAGTTTTTATTTCAAAATTTTAGATAACTTTATTATTAAAACTATATTTACAAAATTTATTTACCTCAATAAAAAAATATATGTATATTTTCAATTTTAATTTACTAATCAATTTATTGTGAAAATATTATTATATAATTTTAATAATATATAAATTATTCATCGAACTATTAAAAATATGAAATTAAAATTTATCTTACCATAATTATATAATAATATTTTTTAATGATTTGATTAATAAATTAAAATAAAAAATACATATACTTATTTGTTAAAAAAATAAATTTTGGAAATATATTTTTAAAGATAAAATTATCTAAAATTTTTAAAATAAAAACATGTTTTTATAAACTAAAAGAAATAAAAAATATTATTTTTAATTCATTAAATAAATTATTAACAAATATTTCAAAATAAAGAACCTATAAAATATATATGATTATATAAAAATTTAAGAAAACATAAAAAAAATTGAAAGATATATTAAAAAAATAAGTTATAAATTTTAAAAAAGAATTATAAAATATATATAAAAAAGAAAGTCCTATGATAACAGTACGCCTTCTTTGAAATAAAAAAAATATATATAACTATTAATATAAAAATTTGAGTGTAGTCGTGAGTGAAAAATGCACTTTTATATACTAAAGTCATCATCCATAAGTACGATTTTAATTCAAAAATCATCGTACTAAAATTGTCATTGGGAAACACGATTTCTTATACCGTCACCCAGTTCCACGACTTTAGTGTTCTAAATTTGAAAGAAGTTTAATCCTCACAACTTCAGCTTTACCATATTTTCTCCAAATACACTTTCATTAAGTATAATTAATTAAGTTAAAGTCAATAATTCTTCCTCATGATTTTAACATTTTCATTAAAATTGTCATTTCTTTACACGACTTAAACTCCAAAGGTCAGAAGTGTCCATCCTTATGACAATTTTTATAGAAGGAAGTTAGTAGGTATGATTTAGCCTTCTTCATAATTTTTTAAAACGGGACTCAAATATGTAATTTTAGATTGTAATTGATGGTGATTTGTAAAAGAACCCACATATCAATCTTGTGCTTATGTAAAAAAAATTAAAATTGTTTTATGAAAACCTACACTCGCACCAATTTATACCAAAATATTTTTTTCTCGGTGCTAAGAATGAAGAGTAGTTTTAGTCCATGATACCATGAATTGCTAACAGGGGCTTTTATTCGTACAAGAACACAAAGACTTTACATGTACTTCTAGTTGGACTATTAGCCAGTAACCAGCATTTCTTGCTGACATTATCACACGTTCCTGATCTTAAAACACATTTTCTACTTGAAGTCCAATTTATTTCATTAGTTTCCATGTTTTTTTCCTATACATGCTCAAAACATCCCCCTATACCATAGTCGCAGGTTATCATCGCTTATGCTCCTGTTGAACCTTTTCTTGAGTTAGTCTTGGTTGGAATTATACGAATTCTCTTTGCCACACGTACAAAATCCCTAATTAATAATACATACGAATCAGTTGCGGCATAATAATTATAAGCAAGGATGAGTTTATATACTTTCTTGCTGTTTTTCCTGCAATCTGCATAGTTTTTAATGGAAATATCTATCATGAAAAAAACTGATAAAATTTTAATTATAACTTGTAAACAACATAAACAGCGTCATCTAAAAACTGGTTAAAAAGAAATGTTCATTTCCCTTGTGTGGCCTACATAGTATTAATAAGGATGAAAGGTAATTGTAAATGAGAAACATAAAAAGACATAACTAAGGAAAAGAAGAAGTATTAGGGTAGCAATAATATTAATAAATATGTGCTTACTTCCAGCTAAGGTCACCGACTAGAAGAAGATCGTTCTCCATGTCTTCATAGGCAATAAGGTAGCCAGGAATGACATTCGAAAGGTCAAAATCATCACTGTCTTCAGCGTTTTCCACAAACATTTCGCGTAGGGCTTTGGCCAGACTTTGGTAGCTACCATGGCTATGGAGGCTGATGCGCTGGCAGATGGAACGACCCTCTAGCACAACTGTTACAGCGGGAACCACGGTGGAGACAAGATCATCGTCCTCAAGCCCAGGAAAGCCTTGGAATTTGTTGTCAGAATTGGTGGTGGTGCTGGTGTTACCGACATAGAAAGCCAAAGAAGAGGAAGTTGAAGCTGCGCCCGTGATCTGTCTTCTCTCTTGCCATCTCTGTTTCAACAAGTCTTGTCTTTGGGGGTCAAAGCTGTTCATTGTATCAGAAACTTATTTTTTTCTGTAGAGAAAAGAAGAAAGTATAATAATGAAGTTTATGAAAGAAAAAAGACGGTACTACAATATATTGTTTGTATGCTCGAAAAGAGTGCAAATGGTTGGGTGTTAATGCAGCATGGGAGGGAGAAATGAAGGCCTTAAGGTGTAGAGTAGATCAAAAGTGAAAAGGGTTAACTTAAATGGAGTTTGGTAAAAGTTCAGATCATAAAGAGGTGGTGATCAAATCTGATGAAGTGTTGTTGAAAAATGAAATATATAGAGATGCAAGAGAGAGAAAGAGAGATAGCACGAATGTCGGGAGAGGTCAGATAGGTGTCTAGAACCCACCCCAGCCTCGTGGCTTCGTTTTCCCTTTTCAAGACCATTTATTGGAGTTCCCTACCTCTTAAAACACTCTTTAATAATAACTTCTAACAATGTGTGTTGGACTGAAATTCATGCTTTCAATTTTCCCACTTAAGTAAATTGTTACTGTTACGTACATTTTTTCCTCCTGTGTTTTCACTTTTGCTTCATGAGTCACGGAGAGAATTAAGTTAGACAAACGAGTGGTAGGAAAAGTACGTGATTGAAAAAAGAGTGGGGATGTTTGCTTGTGATTGCAAAAGAGGTGTTACCATAGATTATTAAGTTCATCTCAACACAGTTGAGGAGTATTAAATATTAGTGTTGCATTTACATTTATGGTAGATCTTATTGTCAAGATGAACTACAATAATACAACTTTTATGGGGATAGCCACAAAAAATATTTTAAATGTGTCGACAAAAAGCAAACTTAGCTGTGCCCACGAGATTCCTAAAGAAAGGTTAAAACAACATTGAAAGTTGCACTGTGCACGAGCAGTGGAGACGACCGCGCTACGGTAGCTGAACGGTTTGCTACATAGAAGAACCCAAGTTTTGAGTTTAGTTTGCTCCATCACTGAAACCTTTGGAACAGAAACATAGAATTAGTATATAATCACTTTGAATGCATATATGTAGCACGAAAATTGATTAAATGGCATAATTTGCTTACTGAAGTACTCTATATAATTCACTCCCACTGTTTCATTAAATAGCATCGACTTATAATGTAAAATGGGAAGGGCCAAGTTCCAAGTTCCAAGGATTAGTATGATTTTGTTGACCTTAATCACTTTTAAGTGTAAAATGAGAAAGTCTGATTTGATTGAGTATTATTTTAGCAAGATGGAGACTTGCCTTCAAACTTCAATGCTAAGCATATAGCTAGCAAATTTTGTCATGTTAAAGAAAAGAATTCAATAAATAGCAGCTATTGTTTTAATTATTCTAAGTTACATAGTTAACTCAGTGGCTCTCACATGTAGCATGCAATGAAAGAGAAAACATGAAACAATAATCATCATTGTAAGGATGGAACGATTAGATTGATAATTTCCATATTGAGTATTTTGAAAATTTGTTGGCGGGCTCCAAAACCTCATAGGAATACAAGTTTCGATTTTAAGGTGACAGATTGGCTTGAGTGTTTTTTCCTGCACCTCATCAGTCTCTCGTCCTGTACCTTCCAATTTTTGTATTATTCCAAATGTATTCCTATTACTCTGTCAGAACACAGAATATTTTGTCCCCACCCTGAAATATTCTAAACGCATTGGAGGTGCGGTAAACCATGCACGCAATTCGAAATGCGGTTCTCGTACTTGGAAATGCGGTGAAGCTTTTTCATTCTGTATTTATTATATTTAATTGTTTTTTAATTTTATTTGCTTTGCACTTAGAAGTGCGGTGAAACTTTTTTATTCTACATTTATTATATTTAACTGTTTTTTAATTTTATTTGCTTTTTATATTTTTTTATTAGTTTATTTAAATATTAAACATTTTGTGGTTAATATTTTGTAATTTGTATTTTATTTTTGTATTTCATATTTTTTTAAATTTTATTTTTAATATAATTATTTTTTCTGAATTTTTTGAAAATTTAATTTGTTTTTTAAAGTTTTTGAATCTATAATTATTTATTAATATTTTATTTTTTAATATGGATTATTATTTATTTATTTGTTGTATATTTTTTGTTTTTATTCATTTATTAATTTAAATTTAATTTGTTGTATTTTTGTGGTTTTTTTAACTTTTTATATTGAATTGTTAACATTTTTAATTTTTATTATATTTGATATTTATTTAAATATTATTTATAATATAATTAATTTGAAATTTATATTTGTTTGTTAATATGCAATTTTTTTGAAATTATCTATTTATTTAAAAGATATTTATTATGAGTAAATTTTAGTTTTTAAACTAATAAGAAAAATGAAAAACAAATCAAATTCAAAATATAGTAAATCAAAACAAAAAGAAAGAGAATAAAAAACATTCACCGCATTTCCAGTTGTGTTCAAATGAGCCACACTTTCAAGTGCGGTTACCGCAATTCCAACCACGGTGTCGTATGAACCGCACTTCCAATTGCACGCGATGTGAACCGCACTTCAACTGCGATTACGATTGACGCTCAACCCAATTTCCAAGTGCGGCAACCTCTGTAACCGCTTTTTCGTCGAACTCTGCAATCATTCTTTTGCCTGCGTGCTCTCAACCACGTCTCGACTCGACCTTCGTCGCATCCAACCCATAAATGCATTCAATCCATACCTCTATCCCATCCAACCCATAAATACATCAACCTAGCGCCGACGTCCTTTCAACCATTGCGGTTAAGGTCTCGACTTCCATCCCATCTAACTCAAAATGACATCCAACCCAGAAATGCATCCTAGCACATACAAACAAACATCACATACAAATACCACATACAAACAAACTACAGTCAAATGATTATTCAGACTCTGAAAGGAGCATAATTGAAATAATAAAACATTTGGGAGGGGTAAGATGAGACTGGTGAGATAGAGGTAGAAGCACTCAATTGGCTTTATCAACCACGCAAGCAACCTCTTGTGCTGCAACTTGGGATCGTAAATTCTTAACTTTGGGATTCGATGTTAAGCGGAGTTTGTGTCACTTGTCTCTGCAGAGACACTGGAGTGGTTGCATATGGATTTTTTATTTCATATAAAAAAGCAAATTGTAAATTTTAATTAATTATTAAATAGTTTTATGTTAATTACAATATAAGTTGTGAAATATCATTATAGTGTGCGAATTCTGACATTTATAATTGTGCAAGCAATATTAACTTATGTTGATATTGTTATTTATTATCCATGATATATTGGTGTTGAGTTCAAGGTTCTTTTACCCCACAAATGATATTGTTTGTTTCTTGAAAAAGTCCATATTTTATGCTATTAAAATTTCATAATTTGTGTGAATTTACTAAAAATATATGTGTACTACATTTCCAATTTGAATTATCCTATTAATCGTTTCGTTTAAAAATAAAAGGAGGTAGTAGTGAAAGGCATTTGTACAAAATATTGAATTTTCCAATTGTACATTTTAAAATAATTCATAAAATTCTAAACAGTAGATTTGTAAGAGAGAAAAAATCACCTGTTACATTTATTACATTAACCTTCCAATATATCTTACATGTACAAAAGTGATCTTCCGAGCCAAACCAAAGAGTAAAGGTATAACGGATCTGAACTAGAGGGTTATTCTCTATACCACCCCACTTTACTCTCTGTATCACTATATTTTTTTAAATTCCAAAGTTATTCTTTATATTTTAAAATATCTTACACCCCCACTTCTTTTCTTCAACGGGAAAAATTCTTCAACGGATGTGTTACATTCGTTAACAGCTGTGCCACATCCGTTGAATTTTTTTTTTAAATTTTTAGTTTTTTAATTTTTTGTATTTTAAATTAATATATAAATATTATTTAATTATTTTAAAATTATTACTTAATTATTTATAAATTAATTTTATTTTATTTAATAATTTAATTATATTTAATTTAATGTATTATTATTTAAATAATAATTAAAATTTTAAATTTTTAGTTTTTTAATTTTTTGTATTTTAAATTAATATATAAATATTATTTAATTATTTTAAAATTATTACTTAATTATTTATAAATTTATTTTATTTTATTTAATAAAATAATTATTATTAATTTTAATTTATGTATTATTATTTAAATAATAATTAAAAATTTTGTTATAAATCTACTAAACGGATGTGGCGTGATCCATTGAATTAGTTTTTTTTTTAAATTTTTAGTTTTTTAATTTTTTGTATTTTAAATTAATATATAAATATTATTTAATTATTTTAAAATTATTACTTAATTATTTATAAATTAATTTTATTTTATTTAATAAAATATTTATGGTTAATTTTAATTTATGTATTATTATTTAAATAATAATTAAAAATTTTGTTATAAATCTACTAAATGGATGTACCATATCTGTTGAATTAATTTTTTTTTTTAGTTTTTAGTTTTTTAATTTTTTATATTTTAAATTAATATATAAATATTATTTATTTTTTTTAAAATTATTACTTAATTATTTATAAATTAATTTTATTTTATTTAATAAAATAATTATTATTAATTTAATTTATATATTATTATTTAAATAATAAATAAAATAATTTTTAAAAATCTATTAAACGGATGCGGCGATGAAGTTTTTTTTAAAATAAAAACAATATTCTAAAATATAAAATATATAAATGGATTTCAAACATCCGTTCACGGATGTCAACATCCGTTTTATAGAAGGACAAATTAGGTATAGGATGATATAGGGAGCAGTTGATGGCGGTGGAGGGAGCAACACTCTGTGAATTATTAGTGAGTTATCTGTTTTTTTTACTTAACTTAACCCATCTATCTTGTTGGTGTAGACCAGATTTGTCAGCTTTTGTTTTCTAAGTTTATACAAATATAATTTAAAACAAAAATTGAAACGATGATACTTGATCTAATACTCCTTGTAATTTTCATGCCAAAATAATAATGTTTGAACGATACTATTCATTTTGGGTTTCAATTTTGAAAGCCCAATGAGAATTTGACTTGTCCCGGAAGGGCCAGTTCGCCAGCCGCAGGCATTATGGTGCCCGAATAAGAGAAAAGGCAAAGAAAAAGACATGGCTGATGATGACGAACAAATGAGCAAGGGTGAGATGGAGAAAAAAAAGGTTAAAAGGAAAAGGAACATCAGGTGGAGAAAAAGGTAAAATAGGAAATGCAAATAAAAAATTATTCGATTTTGTTGTGTTTGGAATAGGTTAATGCTATTTTATTTCAATAAACAATTACTTATATAATGGATTAAAATTACAATCATTTTAGAAGTAATATTATGATAATTAAATTAAGTTGTGTTTCGGGATGTAGATGGAAGTTAGTTGTTTAATGTTATACAAGTCGTTTAGGGTTAAAAAACTGTTTTAAATCTA